GTTGATTTGGCTCTGTGGGGAGTGCTCACTCTTTCCTCTGGCCTTGTTTGGGTTCCAAGTATGCTTTCTCCAGCCTCCTGGGTTTTTGCTTTGCAGGTGTCAAAAGGGATAGTGATGACAGTTGCTGTCTTTGGGATGTGGAAGGGAAGAGTTCTCCTCCCTTGGGCCTTGTGGTCACTGACACTCAAACCCTGAGCAACTGGACATGAATTATTGTGTTTTAAGGGTCCCATGTCTTTTTCCTGATGGTACATGAAAGTGTTCAGTAACCCACATTCCCTCCCACAGTAAAAAGGGTTTCAGTGAGGGTGAACTGGTTAGTTAGGTAAAAAGTTTAACAAATTTACATTCTTTTTTTCTTTGGCTGATTTTTGTTTAAATTATATCATTTGAGACTTGGGCTGTTTGATTTTTCATAAACTTGCATATTCTATTAAAGAACAATGATAAAAATGAAAAGCTTTTACCTCTCTGTGGAACACAGAGAATGTGCTTGCCTGAGGTAATGGAAAGATCATCACTTACCTTTAATCAATTCTATACTTAACTTACAAGGACAACTTCTTAAGGCAGTGAAAAGTCTAGTCTCTTCACTTTCAGTTGAATTATTCTAAAATTTTATATTCTGTTACCATCAGTTACTATCATTTCTAGTAAGAGATTTTCTTTCCTTTCCTTTTTTTTTTTTCCTCTCACGAGTAAGAGAATTGAGGAAGTGAATAATCCATTGAAGGACTCCACTGGCAGAAATAATGTGACCCATGACAATCACTTAAGTTAAGGTGGCACTATTCAAAGTGACCAAGAGCTGTTCCTTTGTCAACATGTGGGATTAAAAAAAAAACAAAACAGCAAACCACTGTTTCTCTTTTTATTAGAATCCTTGATTCCTCTGTGTAGGTGCTACTCACTAGCCATCAGATTTAACTTAACATTGTTCTACACCAAGCTTATTAATGATGGGAAGGACTTTCTGATACAGTACAGTGTAGCTGGATACTCCCCATGCCATGTCTGTTTCTAACATTGATTGGGGTTCCTTGAGTCAAAGAGCTAGAGAACACTTAATGATACTTATAACCCAGAGCAAGCAATGTTCTAAATGGAGAACTGAGAAAATGCAAAACTGCCTAGGAACTCTACTTTTCCTTGATTTAATTTTGAAGGATGTTTTCCCAGGCAACTCAATCATTCAGCAGAGATTGTTCTTTCAGGCACTTGGAGGGCAGCAGGTTGGGGCAGTGTGGCACCCTCTTCCTTTAGTTACCAAAGTGACTGGCTCCCCCGTATGGCCAAATACGAATATACCATCCAGTCAAACTTCCCAAGAAGCAACTATCTGGGTGCCTCTTTCACATTCCAGCCTCATGCTGACTGCTGTTGGCTTCACTCAATTTGTCTCACAAACTAAGGCAGTTATGTCATGGGGTAAATCACTCCATGAAAATGAAATCACTAAAATTACTTATTTTATTAACTGAGTTTCAGAAAGAATCCTTAGGTGTTGCTTTAGGAAATAGGTGCTTGTCTTGTGTTTAATTGTTTGGCTAATTTCATATTTTTGGCTACAAATCTGGTAACTATTTCATATGAACTCGGTGTGCCTCTCAGGAAAATCATCTCAGGAAGTTCCATGTATTTTTCATGGCGTAAAGAGAGAAGGAGAACATCTTATGAGAAGATCCTTGACTCCCATTGGAAATAACCAGTCTGTAATTGGAGGGAAATACATGGGAACAAAGTCAGGGCCAGTTGCTTTGCTATTGGCAAGAATCGATGAATCAGGCACATATAAATTAGCAAGATTGCCTTTGCTATGATTTCTTTTGGATTCTGTTTCTGAAGACATTGGCCCATCTGTTTTATCCAAAGATGGCATATGAAAACTTCTGAGTTCTGCTGGTCTAGATAATTTACAAAAATTAGAATAAAATCTGTCTTGCTTTTGTGGAAGGAAAGCTGGGTCAGGACATGGTTGACCTGAAGGTGGGATCAACATCTTACTATACTTTTCCCTGGGAGGTAAATGGGAACCAGGGTCAGAAGTTTCTCTGAGGATCAAATTACCTATCCAAGTTGAATCTCTTCCATCTTTGTTAATCGGATGATCTAGAGGATTCCTTGGACCTCTGGAGACTCTTACTCCTCCCAGCTGGATACAGAGGAGAGAGTCAGAATGGGACCTTCCAATGAAGTCGAGGGGGAGAGAAAATCTCTCATTTTGGATGAAGGTCATCTGCCCAGTTGGGAGGCACCAGATGGAGAATGCTTCTTTCCAAATGTTGTATTTGGAACACTGAGTGCAAAAGGATCTTTTCCAAATTTAAACTCTGTTCATTTCTCTCTATTGTAAGCATATTCTTTCCCTAAATCATAGAGCCTGAGCTCCTAACGAGTGATGATGTATTTATTTTTCTTAGAGGAAATATTCTTCCCTTGAGAAGCAGGCATGGTTCTCGCCAATTCTTCTATTAGAGCTCTTCACATTTATAGGTCTCCACCTCTTCAGGTGCATGGCTGTTCTTTTCATCAGCTTTGGAAAGCTTCTCTTCTCCTAATTGGTAGTTTCTTTCTACTATTAATTTCCTTTGACATGTTATTGCAATTTTGAGATAGAGTGCAGTTATCACTTTAAGTTTTTGCCGAAGATTTTGATTTTCACTTTCATTGCTTCTTTTCTGACTGCAAAGATGCATGTTCAGCCTGGAGGTTGTTACTATACCCTGTAAGTTCTTTGTTTGTTTTATCTACTGATACTTCAGATAGCTGAATATAAATTCTTTCTCTTTCTAGATTTCCATTAACTAATTTTTTTAAATGAAGTGCCATAATTTTAGGCCCTTGTGAATTTTTTGACAGTGTAAGATATCTCCCCTGGTCACTGTAGCTCTCTCACCATCCACTTACTTGCAGGAACCTGTTTCTTTCCAGCTCCTCCTGGTTGACTATCATCGTTTGATTCACTCTATTTCCAGTTCCAAGGTATCATCACCTGTTAATCTCCAAACACAACCCAGTCTTTCATCTTCAGCAAGCATTCCATCAGACTTGATCTGGCTTTCTTTACCATATAGAATTTGTTAAGCCTTTCTTTGGAGTATTCAAATGTTATTTTTCATTTAAATTCACTTAGTTTTTATTTCCTTCCTTTAGCTTGTTAAAGTTGCCCCTGGCTCTCCTGAAGTTGGGCATGTTCACTTATGTGAACTCTTCTAACTACCCCAAATCACTCTTTAATCACTTGAACTATTTTTAAGGTTGCTTTGGCTTTAGCTCTTTGTTATTGGAGGGATTTTAATTCATCTCGTATGGGCTGTGTCTGTTTAGAAATACTCAACCTAGAACTGGAGTGATAAAATGGAGGAGGCGGAAAGGTGGTCTATGACAGAGTGGAGGGTTTCAGATTTGAGGATTCCCCAAAAGCAGCAGTTAATTGACTCTGCTTCTAGCAACTAATGGAATTTATGGAGATTTGCCAGTTGTATTCCTTTTCTTTTGAAGCTGCCCCGCCTTCCTGGCCTGCTG